ATACGTACCTGCTGTCTTGCTACTATCCTATGCAGTTTGATACAAAAGCGGCGTAGATATGAGGAGGCGGTGAGGAGAGCGGTATGCAGAAGCAAAGTGTCGAGGCAGATGCTCAACCAAATTAGGAAGGCGGTACTGAAATTTCAGGCAGGGGGGGTTGTGAGGGTGCAAGCAAGAATCCCCTATTATCAGACTATGGAACCATTCAAGACATGAATTTTGGGCTTGTTTTTAGTACAACCTATTGACGAGATCAATACCAAGGCTACTATTAACAATCATCTCCAATAGCAATAAGATAATGAAAGATCAATGATTTCCCCAATGAGTGCCCAAAGATACTTACTAGGTACCTCAACTGTGGGCGTTATTGTAGTGAGTTATTAAGTCGCGGTGAGGTCACTGGGGATCCTTTCAAGGCCAAAAAAAAAGAATTGCTGAATCATTCAGTCACTAAACGGCCCCCGGGGAACTTGAACTTGAACTTCACCACATCATACCTAATCATATTCGATCTATTTCACGTCCTTTTCTTTCTTTCCTTACAGGAGTTCATATCCCTTGAAAGCGTGAAGTTCAAACTCCCGCGTCCCCACCATTCCACTTCCTTCCGCTCGATCGCGTCTTAGCCTCCTGCAAACTCTTGAGTTGCGCGTAACGGCACCTCCGCAGATTCAACAGCTCCTGGATATCGCTTTTCGGTCTCCCTTTTTCTTGTCATCTCTTTTGTTTTCTCATCCCTTCTTTGACATTGGCACTTCTGTAAAAGCCCCTTCATCTCAATTTCCTCAATTCTGCCGTGCCGGGACCTTCTCGGTCGCATGTGTTCGCAATAGCCGGATCACGACTGTCAAGGATGCTGCCTTCTGATCGCGCCACGGTCTCTGGCGTGTAGCCAACCTCTCACTATGTCACGCGCCTCGGCCGGCTTTGCAGACTTCTTCCCCACCGCACCATCTGTCCTTCAACAGAAGCGCTTCAAAACAGCGCAGGAACGCCGGAAATTACATGTCGAGGGTGATCAAATTTCCGAAAAGACTCCGGATCGTCTAGTGTCTCTTGCCTCGAGCACCCCCGCGCCCGTTGAGACGCCCGTCAAAATTGATACAGACGAGGGGGGAGCTCGCACTCCATCGGTTCCCAACGAGCTTGGATTGACCATTTTCGCCAAGGCGAAAAGCGCAGAGGATAGGATTGGGCTACCTCCACCACCCACGGCAAATCACGTCCCACCAATCGATACGCTGACACCGCTCACCAATGCGGAGTCATCGCCCCTTTGCAAAGTAACCAGTCCATCACAGCCAAAGATACCAGGCGGAGGCTCTCCGGGCACTTCTTCCAGGCCGAATCCTGATGTCACCAAACCTTCCATCACCCCAATAGACACCCCTCCTACCCCTCAGTCGCAAACTCGACACGTCGAGCTCCGTGTGACAGGCTGCAAGGTTGTCTACGACCCCGATCTGGACAAGCGGACCTCGTCAAAGGAAAAGCGGAAAAAGCTCGAGTATGTGGACATCGTGAATAATGGCCAAGCCGATCCCGCACCCGATCCTCGTCGTGCGATTGCCAATTATACCCGTGGATCCGGCTGCAAGCAGAAGACAAAATACCGACCCGCGCCTTACAATCTGCGACCATGGTCATACGATGTGGCAACCAGCATTGGTCCCGGGCCTCCGATTCAGGTCGTGGTGACGGGATTCGACCCTTTGACCCCGATTGCCCCGATCAGCGCACTTTTCTCGAGCTTTGGAGATGTGGCCGAAATCAAAAACCGCACAGACCCCATCACCGGCCGGTTTCTGGGGATCTGCTCCATCAAATACAAAGATAGCACCTCAGCTCGGGGAAATGGGTCAGCGTCAGCATCTAGCGCAGCCCGACGTGCATATTTCGAATGCAAAAAAGAACAACGCATTGGCACGCGCAGGATTAGGGTGGAGCTGGATCGCGACGGGGTTGTCTCAAATCGAATGGCCGCGAAAGCAGTCGAGTCCCAGCGACAGGCTTCCAAGATTAGCCTTCCTCCCGCAATCGAACCGAGACCGGATGTCCAGATAAAGAAAAGCGAACCACCACCGACTGCGCCCAAAGGTCCCTCGGGCAGATCATCCCTACGGCCGGGGCTCGTTATCCCAGAGGGTCCTAGGGCCGCTGCACGATCCCCTGTCATACAATCATTGGTCGAAGAAACTCCTATCTTGAATCAGATCAAACGCGATCCATACATTTTCATTGCGCATTGTTATGTCCCAGTTCTCAGCACAACGGTTCCGCACCTGAGAAAGAGACTCAGACTCTTTGGATACAAGCATATCCGTTGTGACAAAACCGGCTACTATATCATCTTCGAGAACTCGCGCCGGGGCGAGGAGGAAACTGAACGCTGCTACCGACAATGTCACATGCAACCCTTGTTCACCTACATCATGAATATGGAGAGCCAGCCCTACGGGAATCCAAACTACGAACGGAGTCCCAGCCCCGAACGACTTCGCACCGAACAACGAAACAAGGCCGAAAAAGATCGGACAAAGAAAGAGGATGAATTGGATCTTGAAGAAGAGAAAAAGCAGCGGGCGCTTGATTTAGATCCTTGCCGAGAAGTATTGTCTATCATCATTCGTGACTTGAGGGACAAGCTCCTCGAGGATGTGAAGTCACGCATAGCTGCTCCGGCTCTTTACGACTATTTGGAACCGAGTAAACATGCGGCTAAAAGGGAAAGGCTGGGTATTTCAGACCCCGAGGGTACAAAGCGATCTGTTTTCCAAATCGACAGCACCCCTGGCTCTCGAGGCGAAATGTCCGCCGGGCGAGATCCCCTCAGATCATCAGGTCTGAATGTCCTTGCTCTTCCTCGTATCCGTAAAGCCCATGGTCTTGACCATGCGGGTGCTGCCTTCCTAGACGAACGGCGTAGGCAACCGCTTCGAAAGAAAGAAGTCCGGCCCTTATATCATCGTTTACAGCAGCTGCACGATGATGAAGATTCGGACGACGAGCAGCGCACTCCTGCTACTAGGGATGCCGATGAGCGAGAGAGCCGTCCCCCTAGTCGCGAAAGTTCAACGTCATCGGAGTTTGAACGGGATGGGGGATACCAGTCGGATGATCTGGGATCATCACGCAGCGCTCAACTTGCGGACGACCTGGATGCCACAAATGAAACCAGCGATCTTTCCCACGAACTTCAGGTGTCTCCCACGTCAGGCAAGAGAAAGCGACTGACAGAAGAGGAAGAAGCACGAAAGCGGCAGCGACAGGAGGAAGAGCTGTTTGGCATTGACTCGGAAATACTCGGATATGAGGATGCGACTGAGGAGCTAGAAACGCCCGCGGCTATTGATGACGACCTCGCAGAGGATGACGACAAATTACCAACGCACGATCAACCCGCAGACCAATTCACCGAGAATGTCCCCTACAAACATCCCGAGGATGATGACCTCTCGATCAGCGAAACGGGGAAGGCCGAACCTATCGATGAGCCGAGAACAGAGATCGAATGGGCAGTTTCCAAGGATGAGCCCCGCGCCACGGTGGAAGATGATGAAAACATCGTGCTTGATTTGGATGGTTGGCAAAACCTGGTCAAGGATGATGAAGACCTGCGATTTTTGCGGGAAATCCTACTGGATCAGTCAGAATCAATTATCCAAAATCTTGCTGCATGGGGTTGGAAACAAAAGGAGATCAAAGCTCTCAATGGCCTGGAAACTGGTACGACCCAGGACGCTATCAGTATCCCTGGCTATTATGTGCCAAATACCACAGGCGCTGCGCGGACGGAAGGCCGAAAAAGGATTCTCGAGGCAGAAAAATCCAAATACCTGCCCCATCGGATCAAGGTTCAGAAGGCTCGAGAAGAGCGTGAAGCAAATGCCAAAGCAGACCCCCAGGCAGCGGCAGCTGAGGCTGCCAGGATTGCAGCCGCCAAAACAATCTCAAAATCGACATCCCGGTCAACCCGAGTCAACAACCGCCGGCTCATTGCAGACATCAATGCACAAAAGCAGGCCCTTCCCACCGCGAACGGCGAAGGAGACGTTCTTCGATTCAATCAGCTTAAGAAACGCAAGAAGCCTGTGCGCTTCGCTCGCTCTGCCATTCATAATTGGGGCTTGTATGCCGAAGAAAACATCACTGCCAATGACATGATCATTGAGTACGTCGGAGAGAAAGTGCGTCAGCAGGTCGCCGACATGAGAGAAAGACGATACCTAAAGAGCGGGATCGGCAGCAGTTATCTTTTCCGAATCGACGAGAATACCGTCATCGATGCCACAAAGAGAGGAGGAATTGCGCGATTCATCAATCACAGCTGTACACCAAACTGCACCGCCAAGATCATTAAGGTAGATGGTAGCAAACGGATTGTGATTTATGCGCTCAGGGATATTGAAAGAGGTTTGTGACCCGCGCGGGCTTTGCAGGAAAAGACAAATGCTAACAAAAGCTATTAGATGAGGAGTTAACGTACGACTACAAATTCGAGAGAGAGTGGGACAGCGATGACCGCATCCCCTGTCTCTGTGGTTCAACGGGCTGCAAGGGATTCCTTAATTAAAAAACGCTTTCCGAGATCTATCTACCAAAGTCTTTGGGAGGTATATTGACTCCCATTTACCGGGCGGCGTTGAATCGGGCTGGCGTTTTCAGTGTGGGAGCATTGACGCATTTATCAATGGCAATCGTGATTTCATAAACTACGAACTCTCTTGTACAATATACCAATTCCAAAAGAATTTCGCCTGTTTTCCGTTTCAAGTCATGGCGCTGGAGCACAGTCTTAGGAGATGTGAGAGCGTAGATGTGTCAAATCCCAGAAGAACCCGATTTGGATATCTGATAACCTTCGTGCCACTGCATAGGGTCTTTCAGAGAAGGGAAAGGAAAGGAAGGAAGACCATTCCTAGTCCTGGGGTATCGATTTGCGAAGCTATTTTGGTGAAAAGCGCATGTGGGATTGTGTCGTTCAGACTGGAGGAATATTAGCAAACGAACATACCCAAGGGAAAAGAAGATTTCTCACCAAGGTGGCTTGGAAGAAGGAAGTTCGCAATTCCCTCCTTAATCATATATGAATGACCACAGTTCCCACAGGTCAATTTCCCTTCCGTGACATGCGTCTCAAGAAGCAACCGATGCAAGTCCTTCAATGTCTGCTCGTTGTCGAGAGCCTCGCCCTCAGGTTTCGAATCTGGAAGACTCGGGAACCCAAGCTGAAATAAGACCGCAAGAGTCAGCTTATTTGTAATTGTCGGTGAATTACCTACACGTAGGTATAGGTATATCGGTTGAATAGGTAAACTTGGGTGTCGGATCTTCATACCTCGTTGGAAACGGTGCGCAGGGCTTCCCAGTCAATTCGGGGGAGAACGTTGCGGATGAATTCGGGCTGGAAGTCTAGTTCTTGTTGCTCGAGCTCGGCGTCTTGGAAATGTAATGGGAATGAGGCCGGGGATGTCTTGCATTCCTTCACGGCGCATGTCACGAAATTGGCGGTGATCACTTTCATTGTGGGGGTTTTGGAGGGTGATTGTTGGTGGTTTGTCGATGCGAATATTCTGAGAATGTTGCTCAGGTATGTAAAGATCGATTGGGTCTAGACAGGAGATTAATTTAGCGGATAATGAACATCGTCGGTGGCCCCTCCGAGGGAGAAAAAAAAAGAGTCCCACGGCTTATCTGATATCATGTGATCGATATGGATAGGTCCACTACTATACTAAGTTGATGTTTACTCTGAAATTGTGCTCCGTATATACATTATCTTTACAGAAATTCCCTAGAGTCAGACTGGAAGATTTTATTAGCTTTGATTAGCCCGGATTAGCTATTATTCAGTTGTTCAGATCCTTCGAGGAGGGTTATTTGATTTGGACATCCAGCAGATCTAGATCGTCAATGTCGTAGTCGCCAAGACATGAATTGGGATCGAGTTTGTCCCCATCAAACAAGAGAAAGATGTCGTTGTCCACAGGAATATTCTGTTTCTCCCGGAAAGCCGATATAAGTCGCGAGATCAGGGTTTTCGACCTTGCTTTGATTCTGAAATCGTCGTGTCCAAGACTCCTCAAAATAAGTTTCATTGGCTCGCCCTGGTCAGCTCCTGGGGACTGTGACGCTGTAGGGGGCTTTTCATTATCAGGCGAGGTAATTTGCTGATTGACCGGGAGAGGTAAATCGGTAACCGCTTCCATATGTATGCGCAGCTCTTTCTGGTCTGCAAAGTCGTCATCATCAATGCCAGGGATCGCTGCAGAGTTCTTCCTGGTATTTATATTTAGACTCCTGCAAGTTGTCACGTCGAATAGACGTCGGCCCTTCCAGGTCAGGTAGATTGATGCCTGTATATGGGGTTCGAAATTTTGGCGACTGCACCATGCCAACCGCACATCCCTGAGCCGCTGTGACATTTTTCGATGGACGAGTAATGGTTTGGTGTTCGCAATTTCGGATGTGATCATGATTTGGACAATCGGGTCATCCGCTGGAACTTCCGCCGGTTGAACAGGCCGAGGTGAAGGTTGAACAGGCCTAGGAGGTTCAACAGGTCGAGGGGTTCGAGTTTCCGAATCATCCGCTAGGACAATCACTGGTTGAACAGGCAGAGCACCTAGTGGTTCCGGACCACTGACTTTGTGCGGTGACTGGGACAAGCGCTTTCCTGGGCTGCTTTTCTGTGTTGGTTCGCTTTGTTTGACTGGCTTGACTGATTCGGGTGAGGAATCATGCGAGGAACCCGAGAGCTCTTGTGGCTCCGGTAGCACAAGTTTATCAACCTCACGGGCCACATTTTGCACCGGACTGCTATCATTGCGCCCCTTTCCCCTTTCACTAGAGTGCCGACGCCGCCTCTTTCGTTTTGAGTCTTCAATATCCCCGGTATCTTGAGTATCTTCGGTATGTTCTGGGATCTCCGGTGATTTCGGCTTGTGGCGTGCTTCACGATTCGCAGCAATGATATCAGAGTACGTTTGTTCTGAGCGTCGATAAAATTCAGTGCCAGTTTCCTCCGTATTCTTTATTGCCCATGAGGGCTTTTTGAAAAAGCTCATGAGTCCCTCAAAAGATCCAAGTATGGTAGGATGGCCGAATGGATTTTAGAAGTGACTCGGGAAGCACCTTATTATAATCAGCGATATGTTAGTGATAGAGTAAGATGTGCGACACGAGGGCCGGGCATAAGCCAAACAATTGGTAGTCAAGATGGAGGGAACATGCTATCACACTTTCTAGCCTATAGTGGGTCAAGACACCGTCCTGCTTACCGCCTAATAAAGGTACACTAGCATGCTTTCTGATTAACGGAATATTTGACTATATAAGACCTCTTTCCTCTTGATTTATTAGTTACAGATTAGCCTCAAATAGCTATGCTAGCACATAGTTTGCCAAATTCAACTATTTCAATATTTTGGATGATGTTTGCAAAGCGAATAGAAAGTATACTATTTTATGACCGGCAATACCGGCAAAATACAATGGCGGTGTCCGATCTTCTTCGAAAACTGATCAGCAGATCCCGCCCCGCTTGTGATAGTGCATCACTCACCGCCTTACTGGTTGGTCTCTTGCTTTCGAATGCTTCGTCCCTCCGTCTGCTTCAAAACACATCTCAACCTGGTACGTCTTCCCTTTTCCCATGGAACTTAGCTCTGGCTGACATTTGATAAAGTTCAGACCACAGTATCAATATGGAGAACGCCGCAACCTCTGAAGGGAAAGACCCTTCTGTCTTTCTGAGTGAGATCATCGGTGCGCCTGTGATCGTGAAGCTGAATTCTGGAGTGGTATACAAGGGTATGGACTTTTCTCTTGTTCCTAGTGGCCTCGCTTCTAATGCGCCAATAGGTGAACTGCAATCAGTTGATGGCTACATGAACATTGCCCTTGAAAAGACTGAAGAATACGTGAATGGAAAACTACGACGAAACTACGGGGATGCTTTCGTGCGCGGAAACAACGGTTTGTCAATCCTTTCTTGTCTTCCAATCCTATGGCTAGTGCGACAGCTTTCTGACTAGAGCCTACAGTACTCTACATCTCTTCCAGCTGATCCCACAATACACATTCGATGTTATCGATTGGGCCCACCTATGACAACCTGCAAGTGGATAAGAAAGACACCATTTGAGTGTCGTCGCAATGATTTGGAACACTCTAGCTAGGAGGACAGAATATAAGCCTAGGTGGTGATTGACCAACTCTTCTTATGATGCAGTTGGCCATACTTGCGAGCCTAGGGTTATGAAGGCTACGTACCTAGGGGGTTTCTTTTTTCCCCTGCTTTGTATTGAGCTCAACATTGGCGCCGGTGACCATGAGCTCATTATTTGTTTCCTAGGCGGCTTGATAAGTTTTCTGGCGATGTGGCGATGTGCCATTGACCTCATGTTTAATTGGTGCAGAGTATATTCGCACAGTAATCCATGGCATTTGATCCTACCTGGCTTGGTTACCTTAACTACATACGTTAGAGGTACGTTCCTCGTTCCTGGGAAGGTTGTACCTCTTAACTATTGTACCTGTTGTAGTTACCCCCCGCATTGCTTAAGTAAGCTTTCCAAAGTCCCCCGCGGACTTTTTAAGGTTCTTTCTTCGCGCCTCACCAAGGTCTTTAAAACCTTTGACCGTCACCTACGAAGATGTTACAGGCAATCAAGTATAGCAAGGGCAACCTTGAGATCCTGGATCAATTGCAGCTTCCATTTGTCGAAGAATACATTCCCATCCGGACTACAGAAGATGGATGGCACGCCATCAAAGATATGAAAGTCCGAGGGGCACCTGCTATTGCGATCGTCGCAATGCTTGCTCTCGCTTCGGAGCTAACCTCTGCTGTGGACAGCGACAAGCTTTCACAATCACCAGAAGAGGTGTGCCAATATATCACAGAGAAGCTTGCTTATCTGGTGACGAGTAGGCCGACTGCCGTCAATCTCGCTGATGCTGCGCGCAAGCTGGAGGCTGTAGTGGTCAACCGCACGAAAGCACCGGGCTCTACTGGCCGCGAAGTTGCGGCCGCCTTTATTCAGGCGGCAGAGGATATGATGGGAAAAGACCTCGAGGATAACAAGAAAATTGGACACAATGGCGCAGAATGGATCGCCGTTCGTGCGTCCAGAGGGAATTCAATGATTACTGTATTGACCCACTGCAACACTGGGTAAGGCCGATTCGCTACATTATCCGTTATCCGTCGTATGTTCTCACTAATCCCGAATCACTAGCTCTCTCGCCACTTCTGGATATGGCACCGCATTGGGTGTGGTTCGTTCGCTGGCCGAGAAGAGCCTCCTAACTCACGCTTATTGCACAGAGACCAGGCCCTACAACCAAGGGTCTCGCCTTACAGCATTCGAGTTGGTTCACGACGAAATTCCGGCTACACTCATCACGGATTCCATGGCAGCCGCTTTGCTCGCAGATACCAAAGTGAGAGTGAATGCAATTGTGGTGGGAGCTGATAGGGTAGCAGCAAATGGTGACACAGCCAACAAGATTGGCACATATGGTCTCGCTGTCTTGGCAAAGTACCATGGCGTTAAGTTCCTCGTTGCAGCGCCGCTCACAACAATCGATATGGCAACGAAATCAGGGAGAGACATTGTCATTGAGCAACGTGCAGCATCTGAAGTGACCAGCATTAAAGGTCCCCGTGCGGGTTCTGAGGCCACCGACCAGATTGTGATTGAGACCGTGAAAATTGCTGCGCCAGGGATCAATGTCTGGAACCCGGCATTTGACATTACTCCCGCGAGTTTGATAGATGGGATTATCACAGAGGTTGGAGTTGCAGAGAAGTTAGGCGATGGCAAGTTTCACTTGGCTGGACTATTCGATGGCTCTACTTTTTGATCCTGATCTGTTTCCGGTTGACTCGGGTCTGTTTCATCGACAGACGTAGCCTCCACTGCAGCAGCCGCCTGCTTTTCGAAAGATGCCAAGAGTTCATCGACTTGGCTTTCAATTGCGCTCAGATGGTTTTCCAGGGCCGAGGCAGTCATTTCACCCCTAAATATATGATGTCAATCTCATGAATTTATTGATGTAAGCTATAAGTGGTCTCACGTACTTTGCAAGTTCTGCAAGTGCCTATATATTGGATTAGCTGTCCGACCTTGGATCGTTGGTAGAGGGAATGGAATGCAACAGGGACAACGCTGTCTAGCAGCATAGTTTAGGGAAATATATGTTGCTTGCGAACACCGAGGTAGGGACTTACCTTCGACAGATCAAAGTCCGAATCCGCTCCCGACATAATGAATGTTTGAGGTTATTGCTGAGTACACGGGAGTTTTGAAGACAAGATTGTCCGTGGGGGATGCCCAGAGCCCATCGACACGATTAGTCATCCCGAACCCGAGATAGATTTCCCCGATAAGAAAAGAGAAAAAAAAACCTCTTCCTCACTATTATCATCCACATCTCGTCATCATGGGAGTTCAGAAAAAGACTCGCAAGTATGCGCTGGCCAAGAGAGCCATTACCATGCGCGACAATCGCCTGTTCGTCATAATCACGAAACATGATCTTCTTGCGACTTGCTAACAGTCGGTTATAGGAAGCAAAATCAAGACAAGACAGAGAAAGGTCAAGAGGCTAAGAAGGATGACCTCGTCAAGGAGGCGTAAGTGCATCATATAGTACTATCGCAATAATCGTACTGACAAGTTCGCTCTTAGCCCCCAAGCTCCTTCGTCAATGTTCTTCCAGTTCAACACGGCCCTCGCTCCCCCATACTCCGTGCTGGTCGATACCAATTTCATTTCCCACACCATTCAGCACAAACTTGAGGTCATTCCTACCATGCTTGACTGTTTGTACGCCAAATGTATTCCTATCGTCACAGATTGCGTACTTGCCGAGTTGGAGAAGCTTGGCCCGAAATACCGACTTGCACTGCGTGTAGCCAAAGACCCTCGGTTCGAGCGCGTCAAGTGTGACCACAAGGGAACATATGCCGATGACTGTCTGGTCGATCGTGTCATCAAACATCGTGTCTACATTATCGCCACAAACGATCGTGATCTTAAGAGACGGATTCGGTATGTAACCTACACATCGATCTCATTTTCGCTGTACCAGCCAAATTCTAACAACCATAATAGCAAGATTCCTGGAGCACCCATCATGAGTGTCGCTCGCGGCAAATATGTTATTGAACGACTTCCCGATGCCCCCGAAAAATGAGCAACTTGAAACGATTTATCCAATCGTCTGTCGCTATTGCGACCATCTACATGATACCCACAAAAATATCCGTTTCTTTCTTCGCCAGAAAGTTGTAAAATAACTTGAACAATTTTCGCCTCCAGACACCAGGCAACCACAACACGCACGACCGCAAGACAAGATTATTCTGTCAATCGACCGTATCCGATCAAACAAAACGACTGGATCGAGAACCAGCAGCATCGCTCCTCCCAGGGCTGGTTCTAGTACTTTAAAACCTATATGCCAATGGAATGAATCATTTGAAGGACCCGGGGCTTCTCAGGCAAGGTTATCAAGTGGCACATTTATGTCTTCTATGTCTATGGCGACCGCCAATGCAAATGTCATTGTAATCTACAAACCGCATGAATGCCGAATCCTTAGCTGATAATAGTCATTACCTGAGGGGTCTCTAATTCGTGAAGTACTAGTGCATGTTTGCAATGTAGATTTGTATTTGTTAACCATACGTTTCTATCAATTTAGAAACCGCATGCCGGACAAGACGAGTGTTGGCAAAGCTCTGGGTCATCTTCTGTCGCGACATCATTATGTGTAGTGGAGGTAAATCCGCGAGTAGTGAGCTGGTATCAACCAAGTCAAGACCAGGAGTTGCGATATCGAGCAGCTGCTTCAGTATTCGTAAAGAGTACAGTGCAGCTTGCATTTGAGCAAGAAGGTGAATATCCGCCCATTCGGTACTTCGCGCCATATATCCATTTTTAAGAAAGCTCTCCAACCCCTTCGCATTTGGAACTGTGGTTGTACCGGATCCATCACGATAAATATCGGAAAGAGCATACAAAAACCAGAAGCTCTCCGCTGCCAGACCGTCGTCAAAGGTAGCGTGTGCTAGCGCAAGACGTTTCTTGAGAAGATCCAGGTCGGAGATCACGGTCTTTGTTCCGCTTAAAGTGATCTCCTCGGCCACGATCCTTCCACCCCTGCGAACGAATTCATGTACGACTGCGTATCGATTGACAACAAGACGGGAAAGGTTGAAAAATGAGTACCCAAGGGACCTATATGTTCGACCTTGTTCCCAGGCACATCGTCTGGAAAAATCTTCGTTCAAAATCCCGAGATAGACGTGTGGCTGTTCATCCGAGCAGTAAATACTAGGAAGTTCATACTGCCAAAATAACTCCGATACCCTCGGATCCAACAGTTGTACGGACTGCTCTGCTCCAGGTATCACCGCGTTATCAGTGGTATCGTCATGATATTCTTGAAGAAACTCCAGATATTCAGAGGAGAGCTCAGTCGCCTTACTGCTCTCCTGAGATATCCGGGTAAGTTCAGCAAAACGCAGGTGGGCATTTTTTTGCAATTCGTAAGCAAACCACTGAACGCTTGGGATGCCCAATCGGCCAGAGAGCGAATGGGGACAGATCCTCAGCCCCCGAATATCTGGCTCGGCCGGATCCCAGACGCCCGAGGACGTTTGAACCGAGTCTAGAAACAAGAGCGAGCCATCCTGACCAAGGTCGTGAAGCAGCAGATCCGAATCATCCGTCAACACTGAACAGCCGGTAAGTTTTGCCACACGGGCACACTCAACATCTGCTTCTCCTGGCACCATGACAGTGATTTCCGCCCAGGGGTGATTGACATCGGTGACAAGGCAACTGATATCATCGTCAACCTCTTTCCGGATCTGTTCCTTGCTCCATCGGTTCAGCAGGTCCTCGAAGACCGCCGGTACCATGAAAGGATTCTCTGGAAGGCCTTTTCGTCGCTGGGGCAAGCCTCGACTGCACCAGACCTGCCCTCGTTCAGTCGGAATCACATCGCGACATTTGGGCGTAGCAGGCAGAGACAAATTTCGACGAGCCAATTCTAGTCGATGTCTTAACTTTTCAATTCTGGAAAAGCGGATTTTTCGCTTGGAGATAGGCAAGGCACCATCGAAGCATATCTTATGTCTAAAGGACAGAGAGAGAAAGGAAAATGATAATCAGAGGATAGCTGTGTTTCGGACTAGTTGTGAGCGCTTACATTTTAACTCCCATTCTGGTTAATTGGAGAAGGAAGCTGCTCACCCCGCGACTGATTTCGTCGCAGGTTGGCTGGTAGTCAAGGACATCACTGCTTGGGTCCATCCAGCCCAGGAGTCGACGGTAGACATGGTATACTAGGCTGGGCCCGTCAATGACAACGGCTTGGATGTGCGGAAGTTCTGAATCGATCGCCCTCCCATCTAACAAGACGCTTTCGGCATATGGCAGTAAGTGCCTAGTTAAATGGGGGATCCCCATAGCCAATGCGTGGAAGAACCCTTCTTGTCGTGGTTGTGGATTGTTTCTCGAAAAAAAAAAATCCGTATTAGTCAGGGTGGTAAGACGCCGGAGGTCCAAGTTTGGACAACCTAGAAAACTTGGAATATTGATCTCATCTTTCCTTAAATTGAGATATATGAATAGAATTAGAAGGTGCGGAAATAAAATAAGATGATAACAAAGTAGATAGGATGCAGAAGTTCCCTAAATTCCTGCAAAATCACTGGATTTATAGAACAAATGCATATAGATTCAACGTAACACGCGTGATAGATAACAAAGAAAAAAAGGCACTCATGTCCCGAGATATTTATCCAGTAAGTACATAAGTATAGATCTGTCCATTTCAAATTACCGAGCAGATCGCAAGAATCCGACCACTCCGCGACAGTAGCCCACCAGCTCAGCCAGGCGCTTTCCCTCCCGCCGTTGCTCGTCAGACCAAATTGCAAGAGCATCTTGCAATAGACGATACCGAGGCTCATCTTGAGTAGAGCTGAGACTCACAGTATCGGCGTGAATTTTCAAAAAGACCGCCATCCAAGCATTGACAAGCTCAAAGTCCCTCTTTGACTTCAGGCGAGCAGTCAGGGCAATAACGAAATCGGACAACTCAGAGTGTCCATCACGCACCCGAGGATCCAGAGAACGAATCTCGAGATCTGCTTTGGCCGGAGATAAGGTCTTGAGATGGTCGATAAATGAGCTGAAGTCACCGGAATCATGGCCGGATGCCAATGATCGGGTGAAAATAGATTGAGGAGAACCGGGGTTTCCACCATTTTGCAACTTGGCAATCCGCAACCTTTCGGCTTCGGCGGTTTTGACCATCGATCCAGCATCGGTATCCTCGGCGCCGGCGATTTCGCCGGCCTCGGGACCACTGGAACTGAGCAGAGAAGGAAGAAAGAACGGAGCCTTCTCGGGTGCCTTGGGGGCTTCCTTGGGGCGATTACGTTCCTATTGAACTGTTAGCTAGAGATCATACCCGTGCAGAGATAGAAACATACCCGTATAGTGTCTAGGTGAATCAATGACTGCCATCTGCTTTTAGGGACAAGACTCAGAGTCATCATGTCGTGTTGTAGTTGTTCCGTGGCCAGTACTGGGCCTTCTGCCTCATCTTGCTCGGTAGTATCCACGAAGGCGGCCTCAATAAGACCAGCACCACCTTCTCCCGATGTTGCCGGAAGCCCAACGTTCTCAATAATGTTCTCGTCCAGGTTTTTGGTCGAGATCGGCATGAAAAGGCTGCGGTTGCTCCAAAGGCTGATACCAATGCTACCGGCGTGTGCGGTAGCAAGGAATTCACCCGTTGAAGACATGGACAGAGCGACACATGTGCTTGAGACGCGGAAGATGTCAATCAAATGCCCGGTGGGCATATCCCATACGCGTATCACCGAGTCCATGGAGGCAGCAATAATCCATCGTCCATCATTTGAGAAGATGAAATCATTGACTTGACCCACACATCCCCAGAATTCACGAACGAGCTTTCTGGTCTCGAGGTCAATCACACGGATCGAGAGGTCGTCACAGCTGAAGGCGACTAATTCACTCGCCTTGTTATAGCGAAGTCCAGTAATGGCAGCCATGGGATGCCAGTCTAGTTCATCAATGAATTTCCCAGAAAGAAGATCCCAAAACTATATTCCAGAAAATGTCAGTTTGCGAATCTCTAGAAAAGAGGGAGTGGTGGGGTGTACCTTGACTTTGCCATCCAGGCCACAGCTGACAACGGTACGGTTCAAGTTGTCAATCATCAAACCAGTCACAGCCTTGGTGTGTCTAGTAGCCTCAGTGATCGAGGTCTGAGCATTGGATTTGGTACCACGGCCAGCTGGGGGACGAGCTGGGAAACTTTGTCGGTGTAGACCTGACTGCATGTTGAACATGTCGATAGAACCCCCAGCTGATCCGATGACAGCGAAAGTACCACATTGCGAAACGGTCACACTCTGAGGAATGAATTAGCAAAGGAAAACAATTGTTCAGTCATGTTTAAGAATTTGCACACCTTGACTTCTGTTCCATCACTGGTTGCAAACGCCCATCGACCTGCTCTCTTTTTGCCCCAGAACCAAGTACGTGCGAACTTGTCGCCCCGATGACCGGTAACCACGCTTTCCCAGCCGGTTGCGTTGGAAGCATCGGCGTTTGTAACCTTCGGGTTCGACCAGATCGGACCGGAAGTGGTGACTCCCATTCCACCATCACGGTTGAGGCTGCAGGCAATGCATGTAACTTCGGGAGCTTTGAGATCCTCTGTATTTGAGATGTTCGATGGCCCTGCCTTCTTAGCCTTGCGTTCCAAGCTACCCTGCGAGATCTCGGTATGCTGGCTGTCTTTGCGTAGACTAAGCCCCCAGAGACTGCAATCCTTGCTTGCACTAAGAAGCCACTTGCCGCCAGACTCGGATCCATCCGAAGACGTCGGCAGGAAATCAAGAGCGCTGACGGCAGCAGAGTGTCCGTTTCTCCTATGAAGAGGTCGGGGAATGGGCGAGAACGGCGTCTCGTCGAAGATCCAAGTCTTCAAAGAATTGTCATCGCCCGATGACACGATCACTGGCTGTCCATCCAAGAACTCGACACGGTTGGCGCCCATGGGCTTTTCGCCGCTTGACACTCGATGGGCTCCACGAAGAATGCCTGCAATGCGACCTCCATTATTCAAGTCCCAGAGTGTGATATCGCCGCTACCACTTGACGCTGTGGCCATAACACCTGAGCTGCGACCATCGTGACCAGCACCCAATCCGTCGCCGCGGAAGGTGATGGAAGTTACTGGGAGACCCCGGGATGATGCGTTCTTGAGAGACAAAACCAGCTGGCCTGAGCTCACGTTCTGAATAGCCAACGCACCGCCCTTATAGGCAATGGCAACAAGCGATAGAGCAGGTGTGGGTTGAATCGCAGTCACGGGCCCAGCATCTGCCGACAAGGAGGGCAACGTGTGAAGAAGCTTTCCACTACGGAGGTTCCAGATATCAACCGCTCCATCTGATCGGCCCACGAATATCTTGTTCAGGTAAGTCGGCATGTTGCACATTACCCCAGTGTAGATCTTCTCTCCAGAGGAACCCCGAGCGGGTTGTGGCCGCAGACTGGCATAGTGCTCGTATGTGCCCGTTCTCCAAACCTCGAGGCCACCGGTCCAGCAACCAACCACCCATGAGCCAAACACCACCAAGCGCTCAATGGGCCCCTTCAGGTCTGCGGGGCCCTCAAGAACTGCAACTCTTTTGCCGCGCTTGAAAACCCAGACGCCTCCTGGGGACTGCGACCGGAGATGGCCCCAAGCTGCGAATACCTTATCCTGCCACGCACATGTTGCCGTAATGATCTCTGGTGTTTGCGGTCGACTCAGAAAGATGAGGTTCAGACCTCGGCGCAAATCATAAGTCTGCAGCGAGTGTCCCACGGAGGTTGTGATTTGAAAGGTCGATTTACCCAGGCGCACTGACGTAAAGGGAACGGGTGTTGGCGACACCAATCCTAGTGTCTTTATAGCGACATGTCAGTTTGGAGAAAAGAAGCGATTTAATGTCTCCCCCAACTTACACGGAAAGGAGCAAAGATCTTGGAACCATGTGTCCCAGCCTTAACCTGTGATACCCGTTTCTGCCTCTTCGCAAGAGGCAGATCGAAATTATCGGCCGAAGAAGGCATGATATCGAGGGACACACTAACGACAATGGATATGCCGTAGGATCCAAAGTAATCAGAATAAGCCCCTTAGCCTTTGGAGTGATAATTCCGTTCTGACTTGGTGATCAAGTCACAAAGGGTATCTCCGTCGTCTTCACTAGCTCGGTCTTCTTTTTTTTTTGATGTTTTTTTCTGCCCCGCCTAGTCCTGCAGGCACTAGACCGCCTTCAAACGGGTGAACATCTTCCCCGGGTATAAAATACCTTCACGTGATGAGCATATCCGGAATATCTCTTTGATATCTTTAACTTAACGTCACTCTTCGTTGTTACATATGTTCAAATCATTGTATTCTCAAACACAAATGCATCAACAATCTTATCCGACACTGCTCTGTATAGCCAAAATGCTATCAAAATGTGTTATCATGTAGTGAAGACTTCTACAATAAGTACCTGGGTAGGGGCATATGTACTTTTAGATATATTATAAGTACTTTATAGGAATACGAGGAAGCCCAGTGATTCGAATACACAATAAACATACCATTTCCCAGCCCTCTAGTCTGATTATGAGCGAAAATATACAAACTTAGACCAGCGAAAAGTCGCCCATGCGGGAGGCCAATCATATTTGGTAATACAACCTTGGAATCCAAGAGCTTCCAGGCTCGATCTGCGCTTCTTTCTCCGAACTGCTACCAAAGATTTTGTGCTTCCTTAAAATCCCCATCTCATTGATCAAAATTAGTCTCATACGATTTAATTGATCTAAA